CATATGCAATCACGTAGATAACCTGTAATTTAATGTATTTTGGTCATAGAAATTCGAATTAGGAATAGGATCGGATCGTGAAAATAAACTTAATTTGTCTTGGAAAAGAGAATTGAATACATTACTGTTATCGATTGTCACGAAACATGAAATTGACTATATTACAAATCAAGAATTAAAATAAATGGTAATAAGGGGATTCATGATTCCAATACAAACATTCGCATATTTGATAAAATAATTTTTATTGCTTCCTTAGTTTAGAATTAGTTTAAATAACAACAAAGTCACATCTTTTGTGCACGAATATTGAATTTAATAGTAACTAGTGAACTAGAATTAAACCTTATTCCTCCTGGACGATAACTCATAACTCACTTTATTATTGCTCGCCAACAATCCTGTACGCTTACGGGTTTCATGTGAACAATTCACACACATGTCAATTTTGCTTTAGAAAAGTGGACATTGACTTTGGTATTATAACCTTGAAGCTGTTCGTAGATTTAATATCATAATTCCAAATCCTGAGGTAGACAGCCAAATTATTTAACCAACATATTTTGCATGTTTGTATGTTTGTTAAGTTAGGTTATGATTTTGTTTGAAGAAAAACAAATATTTAAATTTGGGGGTGTTTGATAAGTGTATTTTATATACTTACTTAGACTTCAAAATATCGACATTTATAGTTCTTTAAACAATTATAGCCTAATTTATTGTATATTTCATTGATTAGGTAAAACTCAATTGTTGAAAGTTAAATTGAAAAAAAGAAGCGAAAAACAATAAAAAAAAATGGCGAAGACCAAATTGCAAATATCCAATGGTTGATTTGGACCATAATAGATACTTTGAAGATTGATGGGGGGTCAATTGAATGCAATTAGAAGTCAAAAATAAATGAAATATGATCAAAATATTATCATAAAAATTGACTTCCAATCACATAGGATATCTTTCATATTTTTAGTCAAAGATTGAAATCATATTTGGCATTAAAAAAAGTCAGAATTGGAAAAATTCTGGATCTAGCAAAATTGTTGTCCTTTGAGTCATCTTTCCAACATATTTTGAATCAACTCAATCGGATATCGAAGAACAAAATTATGATCCAAATACTAATTACTGTGCAGAGACAAAAAATCCGCACTCGAATGTAACTTTCCTCATTCTATTGAAACTCTTTTGGAAGCCTATTTGGATGTGATTTTCAACCAATTTTCGACTCTTACAAGTACCTAATAGCATAATACATTAAAAGACATCTCCTACATCTTTCATATAAATATTATACTTCAATACTCATCAATTAGTATCATCAAAGGGGAAAAATTCATAGTTTTTGTGAAAGAAGTGAATGTGACTTACAAGAATTCAATTAAGTGGAAATCAAAACCTAATTTTTGGGAAAAGAAGAGAAGACGCAAGTGGAGATTCATCGAAAAACCATTGAAGAGATTCAAGATTTCAAAATTCATCTTCTTAATTTATCAAAAATTCAAGTTATTTCTTTTCACTTAAATATTTTAGGCTAATTTTATATATTGCTTGATGAGATAAACCCTTGTTATGATATTCTTAGTTTTAAATTAATTATTTTGATTTTAATTTGATTTTATTTGTGGATGGTTATTATCGTTTTTATCATTCTTTTTAATAGTTTGATCACGAAATAACTTGCTGGTAGATTTTATTGTTATCAAGAGAAAGAATAGGGTTTAAGTACAATATAATAAATGTTGTAAGATTCGAGAGAGAATAGAAATATACCACTATGTTTTATATGGTTTCAATAATGTTCTAAGACTTATTAATACATTTTATAATGTTTATATCATTCATCGAGAGATAGAAGAGTCACATGAGGAGAATAGATTTGATTTCTATTGAGAGATGCTTTCAATTAAATTAGGAACATTGACTAACATGAATGATTTCAAATTATCATTTTAATTGTTAATTAAAAATAGAATAACAAGGGGAATTCAACATCTTAGCAATACTTTCACATATTTTTAAAAACCCATTAAACCACTTTCTAGTTTATTTGATAATTTAGATATTAGTTTGAAAAATTACAACTTGTTTGCTATTTAATTGAAATTGCAATCAATTTCAACTTGATTAAATACATAGTCTTCATGGGTTCGACACTTTATTCACTTCTTTATTACTTGTTCACGATTTCGTTCACTTGCTAAAAATCAAACGATCATTTATAATGAAGATCCATCCTCTAGGGTCAAGATAGACCATTCATCTAAATAGGTAGAGTAGTCAATCCTACGACCTTAAAAATAATAAATAAAAAATGACAACCTTTGTTCTCCAATTTTTGACTAATTCTCAAATGAAATACAAGTTGTATCTATATTAGCTTCTCAACCCAAGCATTTGACTCAAATTGTCACAATTGTGATTGAATATTGTGCTTAATTAAGCAACATAATACAACATTCATTTCAATAAAAAAAATTTATGATCGTAGGTGTTTGGGTCAACTTACGTGCACCTCGAGTAATTCCACGAGGTCATGAAGTTTACAGTCGAGTACTCATCTCAATGATTCTGAGAATGACAACCTTTGTTCTCCAATTTTTGACTAATTCTCAAATGAAATACAAGTTGTATCTATATTAGCTTCTCAACCCAAGCATTCGACTCAAATTGTCACAATTGTGATTGAATATTGTGCTTAATTAAGCAACATAATACAACATTCATTTCAATAAAAAAAATTTATGATCGTAGGTGTTTGGGTCAACTTACGTGCACCTCGAGTAATTCCACGAGGTTATGAAGTTTACAGTCGAGTACTCATCTCAATGATTCTGAGGGAATTTGAACTGGACATTCATTTCAATAAATAAACAATTAATGTAATATTTATCTGACACAATCAGTTGTTTAACTATTACAGCAAGAACATAGGAGGGAATGACATAATTTTGTTTTTCTCATTCTTTTTATTTCTTATTAAAATTATTTATATTTTATGCTCGCAGTAAATACTCTAGACCTTTTGAATCCCCCAACAAAATATTCAAGTATTTAATTTCGTATTAGGCACCTACAAATATGAATCCGCGAATGGTAAATTAATTGTAGAAATTCAGGAGGTGGTCCTCAATTGAGATTGTGATGAATTTTTAAAATCATTCTAAATTTAGGTGTTTTCAATTGAGATTTTAACGGATTTTAAAAATTTAGGTATCCTCAATTGAGATTTTATGAAATTCTTTAAAATTTATCAGAATAGGTGTTTTTATCCTGATGGGTTGTTTAAAAACACTAGCAAGAGAAGCAATTGTTCAATTCGTTTTCAAATTTAGTTTTTTATCTTGCGTTCCACGAAAACAATTGTCTTTCAGACCGTAACTCGAAATTGTGCAAGGTCGATGTCGTTGGATTTATGTCGTCGATATATATAATCTGTGTTTGTGTATTTCAAGCTATTTCAAACAATATTTGGTCAGTCAAAATCATCCTCAAGGTCAACTATTCATGTTTTCAAATTTCTGAGGTCCAATTTTTTTAGCTATTTGAATTATTTGGGATTGTTTGAGTTTGCAATGATTGAGAAAGCTATTAATTCATCTATGATGATGGATAATTATGTTAATCCTGAACAGAAGCTATTCATTGTTCCCTTGAATGGTATAAATTACATATCATAGTCGAGTCATGATATTATCGCTTGGTAGGAAAAAAAGTGTTGGGCTCCATCAATGGCACTTCAATTTGTCCAAATTCTACGGATCCAAAATATGAATGATGAATGTCTAATTATCAACTCGTTCAAGCTTGGTTTCTAAATTCAGTGGAAGCAAATATCATTGAAATCTTCACATTTTCAGACTTCACGAAAGAATTGTAGACTTCATTTATGGAAATCAAAATAATGCTATTAAATTTTTTGAATTGAAGCAGGAAATTGCTACTGTCAAGCCATCAAACATCTTTATCATCGTATGAAAATATGGGACAAAATGAGCATGTACTATCCACATACAACCAATGCCAAGGAATATATCCATTACAATAATAAAAGAGACAGCTTCACTTGCACTATTCATAAGGCCTAATTTTCGATTGTACCCTTTTTTCTTTTCAAAATTCCAGTTGTGCCCTTTTTCTCTTTTTACGTATGTTTTAACATTTTCCTTCCTTTTTGTCCGTTGCCCGATTCTTCAACTTCCACACAAACCCCAAGAAAATAGCCAACAAATTCTTCTCAGTTTCATGACCTTTAGGCACCTGCTTCTCCTCTTTATTTCGTGGGAGATTTTTTCTGCAATCTTCGACTTCTTCGCCAACGGTATTTGCACCTTTGTTCTTTATTCTCTCAGTTTCGTGACCTTTAGCCGTTGGCTTCTCCTCTCTATTTCAAGGGAGATTTTTTCTGACGGTATTTGCACCTTCATTCTTTTGCTCTTCAGTTTTCAAACTATTTTTCTAATTACTTTCATTTTTTATAAGTAAATATTGATTTTTTGCTATGAATCTTGGGTATGGTTGATGGGTTTACTATTTATTTCGATATTGCCGATAATGTTTTAGGGTTTTTTTTTCGATTTTTTCCTATTTTGGTAACTAGATGTCGTTTTTTCGTGGGAGATTTTTTTAGCAATCTTCGACTTTTTCTCCGACGTATTTGCACCTTCGTTCTTTCCCTCTTCAGTTTTCAAACTATTTTTATGATTACTTTCATTTTTTATAAGAAAATATCGATTTTTTTTTGTGAATCTTGGGTATGGTTGATGGGTTTACTATTTATTTCGATATTGCCAACAATATTTTAGGGTTTCTTCGATTTTTTCCAATTTTGGTAAATAGATATCGTTTTAGGTATGGTTGATGGGTTTACTATTTATTTGAATTTTGTTAAGAATCTTTTGGATTTTGCTTTTAGTTTTTCTCTCTCTCTTTATTTTTGGATTTTCAGTTTTACATATTTCTTTTATTTCCAATATTGCCAGGGGTTTTTGGGGTTTTCTCCTATTTTTTCCTATTTTGGTCAATGAATGTTGTTTGGACCATATTATTTTTTATAGAGCTCATAGTATTTATTCTTTTCATATTAGTTTCGAAGAGAGTATGGAAGAAAACTCTGGGAAGCAAATTTGCCATTACTTTATTCGATCATCTGCCCGAAATAATTTTTTTTCCCAGAACGAAGGGATCACTTCTGTTGAAACTGCTGATGTTGGTTAGTAATTGTACTCTATTGATTATGTGGACTCATTTATATGGTGTTTATGTTTGAATTATATGTATGAGGTTTGGTCATATGAAATACATACTACATTTTTTTGCTATAGACTTCCATCTAATGTTAATGTTTATTGTTCTTATAAAGTGAATGATTCAGGGGGTTTAAATGGAATAGAATTGCATTCTAAATGGCAACGAAATATTACTAATGTAATAGAAGACAAGTACGACGATGGCGGTAACAAAAAAAGGGGCCAGATCTGAAGAATGTGTGCAATTAAATGTGGAATGGAAATGTGATAGCGTTTTAATGGTTGAAGGGTTCAATCGTGATGAACGTTGTGACAAAAAGCCTGGTAAGAATTGTAAATCATTATTTCATTTTATTCATGTGCATTATACCATATTTGTTTTGTTTTAAACAGGAATAAAAATCTATTGTCATGTTGTGTTTTGTATTCAATTTTTTACGAATTTTTTTAAGGATTTCAGAAACACAGCAATATGACGATAGTCCTTTTTTTTTTT